CCATGCAAAGGTCCGGAACATCAAAATGTCTAAGTTGCTTTATGAATTAGTGTGATATGTATTGAAGTAGCATGTAATCAACAAAAGACTGCCAATCAAATAAAGAAAGTACAAAAACAAAAATATTTATTGTCAATTAACATTGAACTCTACAGATATACAGTAAAATACTGTGGATATGTGTATAATCTTCCTCTCGGGTGCATTTCAAAATAAAATAGAGGAAATAAATCAAATAGCTTTTGAAAATGTGTGCATCTTAAAAGTGATTCATTTTAGAAAAATAAAATAAAGTGTAGCAGCAGCTTGAGTTTCCCTTTTTCTTTGTTAACCGTTTCACATCATGACTTAACAGTTTCAGCCGATTATAGAACAATATCAGTCTTTACACATCATAAGAATTGAACAGTTTTAAAGTTTCTCTTTCTTTCCCTCTTATATTGTCGTCCCTCACTCACTTTTTTTTTAATTCAGTGGGAGAATTGAGCTCGAGCTTGTCCTGCCAGGAGTTTGTAAATCTGGGCTGAAATTGTGTCAGGGCCATTCTCATACACACATGCAGGTGCTCATTGGTTAGCCTCGGTTAGCCTGCCCTGGAACGATATTTAATTTTTTTTAGCAAAATCAATCAAATGTAGGTAGATGGTGCTTGTGAGTGTTGGCAGCTCACCCCTTAAAGCAGAGGCCTCAGATTATAATAAGGAGAAATATGAAGGGTGTATTTCAAGCTTGTTAGGTAAATAAGTCATTGGGCTTTTTTCTTTTCAACTAAGATATGTTAGAAAATGTTTCCAACTTTAATTGACTGAATTTATTTGAAAAGTGATCTTATTAACACATGAATACCACTGTGTATTACATGTGTACATTTATATTTAAGAAGTACAATATAAGACAAGCACAATTTTCATTTGTGGGCCATATTACATCCTACTTTTTGAATTTGCTGAGGCCGATTCAAAATGGTCCGCGGGCCGCATTTGGACACCCCTGAGTTACATGCTTCTCAATGTGAAAAATATTGACACAATTGTAAAGATATTGCAGTACTTTTTTTGAACAAAACACAATTACATAATATGACGGAAACAGACATGGTGTCACCCAGCAGACAGATAATGGTCCTGCTGTAAAGTTTTATTCAATAAAACTCGGCTGTCTGCTCGCCTCAGGCAGGACCAGCACTGACTGACAGTGATGCAGCTACACCATGTTTTGTAACTCTCAACATAGTGGTTCAACTTATAATTGTTCATACTGCATGAATACGATACTGTGCCCAACTGTATACATTCTTTCCGAGTAAAGGCCACAAGGTGATTGCTGCCATGAAAGGATTATTCTCATAGTTGCATGGATGAACTAGAACGGCACTCATAGCTGAACAATGGATGCTTTCAAATGCTCCACTGAGGTCCCATTTCCTGTGTTGTGAAGTCTTTCTCCTGACTTCACGAGTTCAAAACATGTGTGGTCTTTCGCTGCTCAAAGCGTTTGAACAACCTGTTTCCGTGGAGTTGTCCAACTACAGAGGATACAACTTAAATGTTCCCAGTCTGGAACTTGTTTTTTTCAATCATTTACCACATGAAGACAGAAAAAATGCCCTACACTGCAATGGTAATGGATGTCAAAAATAGCTTGTGTATCCACCCTGTGATTCAGTAATATAATGGACTCTTTCTTTGCCCATGCTACATCCTTTAAAAAAAAATAAAAATCAAGCCAGTAGTTTTCCATTATCCGTTGACATTCAAACCGAGATAGAAAAAAAACCTTATTGGCAGAGGACGGCTATTTAGAAACGTTGTCAACATTACATGACATGTTACTTGTTAGATGCTTTTCTCCAAAGCGACTTGCATACTCAATACTGAGGGCAATCCCCACAGGAGCAATTTGGGGTGAAGTGTCTCAGGGACACAACGACATGCTGACTGCAGTGGGGTTTGAACCTGATCCGAACACATACGCACAACCCACTGCGCCACATTTAAAATATATATTTTACAAGATATAAAGTAATACTGAAGATCAGGCAAATTATCTGAGTCAAAGCAATCAGATGTAAACTTTGCTGAGGCACCGTGGCATTTACAGAAAAATGGTAAAAGCTTTGATATTTTGCAACCTAGCACAAGTAGAGAAGAGACAACAAGTCTGTGACCGGACTCTGTAATGTTAGTTACAGTGCTCAAACTTTCTCCACTTTCTCTGCAATGCTGACATACCTGTCTTACCAAACCATATCAGGCAGTAGCTCCAAAACTCATGTGTGTGTTGAATTGAGCAATAATGGCTTTATGTTTTAGTGAATTCATCTTTCATTTGTAAGAAGAAGTGTCGAAATACTTTTTTTGAATGACAGAATTAAAACCGAAAGTGTGTAATATCAAAGTTTGTAAATAGTTGTATGGATGAATACATGTTGAACATTTAGAAATGACAAACGAAGCACAGTGTTGCTTATCTTGGATAGTGAGTGTGTTTGCATGTGTTCAACCATGTGCTTGTGTGTTTGTGTGACATATGCAGCCTGTTCCCTGGGGCAGACCTGGCGGCAGTTGGTTTAAAATGATGTTTAATTTTTAATGATCTGCTCAGGTTGCATCCCTATTCTGCTCAGAGACTCCCTCTAACTGTCTCCACATTTTTCTCGTGGGTGGTATCTCCAACATGCCCTTTAAATATCTTCCTCAGAGGGCTCACAGCAAACCCTCAAAGTATGTTATCCACAATCATAACCACTTACTCGGTTATTAACGGCGGAGGGCTGTTCACAACCTTCCTGTGTTGAAATGTAAGTGTGTGTGTGAGGATCGTGTGACAGATGGAGAAGTGGCTGACATATTACACATTCTTCGACTCACTCGTCTGCTGTAATGCCCTGAACCGCCAGTATTTTCCTCTAACACCTCACAGCTCTTTTCCCTCTCTATATTCTATGCTTTAGAAACAATGCTCATTTTTTAACATGCCCAGCAACATAAGATCCTGCTAATCCAGTCACATTGTGTTGAGCCTCAGCTCCATTCATACAGGGAGGGTCTTCTCTCCTCCAATCAGAGCCATAGGCCTGCTCTGCAGTTGCAGGCAGAGGGTGGTGTGCACAGCTGTGGACGTTGTTCTTATGCATTGTTAAGCAGGTGCTCCACCTGGACAGGAAGAGAGACGGAGAGCAGACGTGGTTTATAGTCGACATGAAGTATAATCAAGGTTAATATCTGTTGCAGCTAGGGAGAAATAAGGTTCAATCAGCATGATGGCATGGAAAATGATGAGGTTATAAAACACCCTTTCATTCATATATGAGTTCAGTCATATGCAATAAAAAGTGACACACACAGGTGTTAATGCCATAAATAAAACACTGAACCAGCAGCGATCAGAGGACTCTGGTTGTGTGAAATGAAACTATGGGTACCATTTTGTCACCCTTTAAATAGTATCTAGTGGCTTTATTGAATAATTTACTTACATGAAGGTTTATTCTTGACATTAGAGCACATATTTTAAACTTAAAGGTCCCATGTCATGGCCATTTCTACTGATCATAATTCCATTGTTGTGGTCTACTAGAATAGATTTATATTGTGCAATTTTCCAAAATCGCATTGGTTTCTCATACAGCATCTCTGTATAGAGCTCCTGCCACCCCCCCCCCCCTCCCTGTGAGCCCAGTGTGCTCTGATTGGTTGGGACGTTGCGAGGCTCGCTGCTGCGAGGAGCGGAAAGATTTCCGGGTCGGCGATACAGCGAGAACAAGCGAAACTCATCCTGAGCACACACAAACACTCACAGCCGAAGTAAAAACAATAAGTGTGGCTTGATATTGAGTAAGAAAAAGGTTTCTAACGCTGTGAGAATGGGTCTGCGGAGAGCATTTCTCCGCCATCCCAACTCGTCTATTACCAGCGTTCAGGGAGCTCTATGCAAGTCAATGGGACTCCCTGTTAGTTAGCCAAGGGATCCTGGTGTGTGAGGGGCTCAAGGATTGGTCCATTTGGGCCAATCCGGTCATTTGTTGTTGATTTGGGTGTTCACACGTCACAGAACCCAGGAAGCAAACAATGGAAAAAGAGAAATCTCCAACGAGGCGTTCTGGGGCAGCATAGACAGGTCTTCTCTGTGTTAGAGTTTTACTCCCTACAGGGTGTACTTTGAGGGTTTGTGACCCTGCAGACCGTTCACATGCATAAAAACCTTCATAACACACAAGGGGGCGGGTAATAACCGGAAAAGCATGACATGGGACCTTTAAGGTGCACTTATTGCTTTTTCCCTACAGAACATGTGTACCTTGTAATTGTTGGTCACTTTCCATACCAAGAACAGTAGTAGGTGAATTCGATGTGCTGTGTGCTTAATGGCTCTTTGGCATACATTTTCTAAGTTTGTGTATTTACTCGAGGCATTCTTTCAAAGATATTCACTTGTTCTTTTATTGTGATGATAGTGAGAGAACACGTTGTCAAACCCATTGTGTAATCCAAAATCTCTTAGTGTTTATTAGGAATGGACAGTGTGTGCATGCCAGCTTCCTTGAAAGGCACCTTGCATGGTAGCCTCTGCTATTTCCTCAGCATGGGTGAATGATGACTTTTATATGTAAAGTGCTTCGAGGAGTCGTTTACGACTCCTCGAAGCACTTTACATATAAAAGTCATCATTCACCCATGCTGAGGAAATAGCAGAGGCTACCATGCAAGGTGCCTTTCAAGGAAGCTGGCATGNTGTGTGTGTGTGTGTGTGTGTGTGTGTGTGTGTCTTTTATTATGATTTTGCAAATTTGGTTGTAACAAGATCTCTTTAAAGGGTTACATGTGATATGACGGATGAATAACAATATTGAACTAATTGATACCAACATGAAAGTTCCATCAGTTGATTACCTACATTAAAACACGTTTTGTTTGAACATGCAATCAGACTTTATCTTATGCTAACTGTACATTGAGGAGAAACCCAGTGAGAGTCTGAAAGTGTAGTATGACATCTTAACTTTTTCTTCACATCTAGCAAGTGACTGTTTTTGAAGTTGTGTATAAGTGAGTGTGTACCTTGCAGCCGTGAGCAGAGACCACCCTGATGTCAGCAGGGATCCTGTCTCCTCCCTTCACCTCCACCAGGTCTCCACCCACCACTTCCTCAGCGTTGATCTGCACCTTCTCGCCTTCACGGATCACCAACGCTTGCTGCAGGGAGATATTAGCGAGGGTTAGAACAAATATACACATACCATACAACATTACAGACTTTTGCACACACCTACACTTATAAACTAACTGACTAAGTTATTCTTTAAATGAATAAATAATCAGTTAAATTGTCTTTGTTGTGTGTCTCTCCCACTCTTAAGCTTTCACACTCTCTAGTGAGCAAAACACATCTTTACCTGAGGCACCATGTTCTTGAAAGACTCCATGATTTTGGAGCTCTTGGCCTCTTGAAAGTATGAGAAACATCCAGTGATGACGACAACAGCTGTGAGCACAATACCTAGGTACAACTGGAGAGAGAGAGAGAGAGAGAGAGAGAGACAGAGTCAAACATATGTGAGTATTGGATACAATATGTGATGCTGAAGTCGTGGTGCTGAGGTTTTTCGCTCTAGATGTGAATATTTGAGTGTCTGCTTGGCTCACATTGTCTCCTGCAGGATCGTCCTCAGTGGCTGCCTGGATGGCGTAGGCCAGGAAGCAGAGGATGGCGCCGGTCCACAGCAGGACAGAGAATCCACCAAACAGCTGGCGACAGAACTTGACCCACTCCGGGGTGGTGGGAGGAGGGGTGAGAGCATTGGGACCATCCCTGATCAGATACTCTGCTGCCTTGGCATTGGTCAATCCCTGAAGGCAGAACACAGGAAGTGAGGTGTGAGGAGAAAAGCAGGTCTGCTCTGATGCAGCGCCAACACAAACACACCTATATTTATTTAGTATGGACAAATACATTGGAGGTCAGAGGACTGAACAATAGTCAAACACTGTAATAAAGAACCACCCAGTGGTCAACTAATAAAAAACAGGTCTCAAATCATGGTTACGAGGAATAGATCAACTCACCTGGACGCAGTCAGTCTGGAATTTCCTGCATACCTCCTCTATAGACATTTTATGTTCCGTCTAAAAGAATAACAAAACAAAAAAAGGGACAATTAATACTTTGCCTGGGACATTATGTTAAGTCATTGCAATGTTTTGCATGCAAGGACATTTCCTAGAAAATTGTCCAAATTGAAACAATAATTATGCTAATATGTAGCTTCTGTTTTTGGAGTAGATTATCTCCATGCATGCAGTTCACCTGAGAGGTAAGAGTATCAGGGCAGCCAGATAAGCCGACCCAGGTGTTTCTTGTGCTGGCATCGAAGTGACGACCTCCAGGTAACAAGTCACCCCTTCTTACCAGTGAAAATACTTTTTTTTCTGGCCTGCGTGAGAAATATTTCCCTTTTCTCGAACAGTTGGTATCAATTCACTTTCCTTGACTATATCCTCAAAAAGGGGATGCATGGGTGTATATAAATATTTGTTATGTTATTTGTAAATGCCAAATGAATCAACTTTTTGATTGATAAGATCGAAAGTGAATTGGTCTCAAACTCATTTTGTGCCAACATATAATTCCACAAGTATTCACATATAAGAGAAGGTTATACTTACAATAGGAACCTCCTTCTTGAGCTCGTCCATGTCCTTGCCCCCCTTCTTCTTCTTGGGGGATTTAGCTTTGTCCTGTGTGGTGGCAACTCGGTAACTGTCTGACCTTCCATACTACAGACATACACATATGTTTCAAACATGCCTTGGGACTAGTTTAAGGGGAGGGTAGCCTTTCACCTTTATGAATAACCTTAGCTGGTCACTGGGGTGATGGGATAATGGGAAATCATATTAACAGAATAAAACTATACTGTCTCAAAAAAAGACAGCGGGCTTTCTTGAATTACCCTTAAGGTGTTTATCTTGCACAGAAAAGGATTGTGTAACCTCGTGAAGTGGCCTCGTGAAGTGGCCTGTATTTGTCAATTATTATTATGAGGAGGAGGCTGAAGGAGAGCATTACAATACAAACCAATTAACTATTAAAGACATGAAAGATAATGCGTTACCCTGGTAGTTTCTGATGGACCAACACATTTACATTAAGTAAGACCATACATGAAAGGCTCCTTCCTGCTCTGCCACATCCATTTGATGTCTCCGCTGATCAAATCATTCTCGCTCTTATGTCCACAACAGCCTGATGTACACATCAAAACATAAACAAGTTCAAAGGGTTTAACCAGTCATGTTTGAACTTATCCCCTTATGTTCTTTCATTTATCTACATGCAAGGACACGAGAGAGAGAGAGAGAGAGAGAGAGAGAGAGAGAGAGAGAGAGAGTTTATGCTCATCAAAGGCTTTCTAAATATATTCCAATATGTTCTACACATCACAGACACTTTGATCTCTAGGTTAGGAGTAATTCATGTCTTACGTATGTTGCACGGACAGACACATCAGATGTCCTTCGCCCTGCTGTTTCTAGGTACTCTCTCCTTACTATAATTGTAGCCTCCGAAATCGGCTTATCTTGTTAAACTGGACTTGAGTGGACTATTAATAGCCCCGCTTGTCCTTGGCACTGCACGTTCTAGTCCCCTTAGGTCTATAAGTGTAACTCTAGCCTGAGTCCGGAAGGAGAGCGTCATCAATACGAATGTTCCTCAACAGAGGTCAGAGGTGACACGGAGAAGCGACAATCCCTCCCAGGAGGTGTGAGCGGGTCCTATAGGTCAGGCCCTGCACGGACAAAGGTCATAAAGGAAACTGCCCATGATCAATACATGCAGATATACACTGATGGTTGGATGAAGTAGCAAAGTCCAGCTGATACAGGCGCCACATCGTATACTCGAAATGAGACAGAAACATCAATAACTATCATCGGATAATCAATAACAATCCTCCTAACTTAGGTATGTGTGTGTCTAAAGAAAATAAAATGAGCCGAGAGGTATTGACTGCGTGGCGCTTCACAGGATATCAGAAAACTACTGTGTGTTGAAATTGACTGAAATAAAGTCAGCCCCCTCTAGTGGTAGGATCAGGCGGTGACATCATGAGGAGTGCAGCAGACACAGATAACTGCTGCGGGACCAATTTGTTTGCAATGTTTAATCTGTCCTTTGACATGATGCTTAAAAAAAACTGTTTACTTTAAAAACAATTATTGGAATTCTCCTCTCAGATTTGAAGCCCCAGCGAGGAAGCATGAATTGAGATCGAAACTCTCACACACCAAAACACACACACCTGCAGTGTGACGAATGTAACCAAGAAGCTATGCATGTCCCACTTGTGAAATCTTGCCCCTGCACTTTTGAGTCTGTATGTTGAAACAAGGACCTGTCCTTCTGGTTTCTCTGATGAATAAAAACATCCTTCATGAAACAACATGCGGAGGACAACTCTCACTCGCTCTAATTGTAGAGAAATGCAGGCTGCTCAACAACCGCCACTGAATTTAAAGCAAACAATAAAAGCCATTTGTTGGAGCATGTCAGGCATAGAGCCACATGTCAGTGTGGGAAGGAGCTGTTTGACTTGACTTCAAGTGCACACACCCACATGCAAATACAGAGCGCTGCAACAAAGCAGCAGGTGAGCAAATCTCCTGCTGCAGCAAGACCAGGCAGGCCTGAGGAGAGGAAGGCTGCAGAACTGATGCAGTGGAAAAACACTGCAGCTCATCCCCTCTGAGACCCACCCTGGATGTGTGTGTGGGTGAGAAAGAGAGTGCATGCATTATATTTATTCATGGCGCCTCCATTTTAAAAAGAGATGTTGAACAATCGGGACCGTTACCGATTTGCCAACTAAGTAATCAGGTGTCAAAACGGCAACATAATCTATCAGATGACAGACGGTCGCTTCGTTGGTTTAAAACGCTGTTGTGTCTAGTAGATGAGGAATGCTCAAATACGCATTTAGGGAGCATTGTCCGCTCATGGCGCACCTGCTTTTCTCAGATCACTGAAACTGATAGTATGAACACACACTCGGGTGTGTATCTCCCTATCGCAAACCACACATATGCCTAGACACTGAAAAATGGTTGGTAGGAGTGCTTAACAAAGTGTTATGTGGTGAAAAGTGAGGACGTGGAGAGATTGGATGCGAAGGCGGTGGACGAGAGACACGCTTGGGCACATGGAAAGGGAGACATCAGTGGGAGGTGAGAAGCAGGGACAGATAAACAGGTGGAGAAAGGGACAGAGAGAGAGAGAGAGAGAAAGAGTGTGAGTGAGGGAGAGTGAGGGAGGAGAGCCGTTGTCACTCTTCTCTCATGCCTCTAATTAGGTATTGACCAGCAGTCTTTGTCTGCTGGCTCTGTGTCAGCGTTTGACCCACAGTGACCCCACTCTAATAGATTGCGAAACCTTTCTTATGGTATGTGTGTAGGCTGTGGCTCAGTGGATAGTGTGCTGGACTTCGAATAAGGGGATAGCAAGTTCGAGTCCCCCTGCATGTCGTTGTGTCCCTGGGCAAGACACTTCACCCCAAATTGCTCCAGTGGGGATTGTCCACAGTACTGAATAAGTTGCTTTGGATAAAAGTGTCTAACAAAGGACATGTAATGTAATGTGTGTGTGTCACTTGTGTTTCCATATGCTAACTGATTACATTGTGGAGTGAGTGTGCATTTGGGACTGAGGAGTTATCAGCATGAGGAGAGATGTATCTTCAGCTTACAGTATGTTGAGAATGTTAAGTGCATTACTGGCTTTGTGAGTGTGTCCTGCCCCCTCTCCACACACACCCTGATAAGATGTGTCTGTGGTCCACCTACAGTATGTTGCTATTCTTAAAGAGTAAAAGGCTTTAAACTGTACGTCGTTGGTTTTTACTGGTCTGTCTATATATCTTTCTCTGTCATCTCCACCTTGATTATTTAATTATACAGTGTAGAAAAGATGGAGGCAATTTTGTGTACAAACACAAATCGAGTCTCCTTTCATTGGCAGGAAATAACAGAGTGTGCCTCGCTGTCTGTGGGTGCCCAGTTGTCCCACAGTATTCTGGGTAATGTAATGAACCCCGAGGTTCTGAGGAAGGAAACAGAGACTCGGGGCTGGAATTACAGACGGCCGATCTCCCACAGGCACACAGACCAACAGACTGATGACTGACACACCTCTGACAATCCTCAGGAAATGAAAACATCGGATGCTCCTCTGTCTATGGAGAGCAACCACCCACACCCGGTTACATGTCGGCTTATTAAAATCTGCTTAAAATATCAATAAATCCCTACAGCCAATTGCCTCACATATCCGGTGGTGTGTTTGTTTGTGTGTTGATTGTAAATTATGCTGCTCTGGCTATCCAAACATAATGTTGCTCTGATGAGTGCGTGTGTATGGAGGGAAAGTAACCATGGGGACCGCCATTGGCATGGTGACGAAGCTCAGCAGTGGCTAGGCACTCCTCGCTAGGATCCCCTGATGTGATCCGAGACAAGAAATGATTTATGCATCTGTTACTGGACACTGTATTCACTGCTGTATAATATAGACAATTCATTCGAGGAATTGGTAGATGCTTGTGTGTGTGTGTGTGTGTGTGTGTGTGTGTGTGTGTGTGTGTGTGTGTGTGTGTGTGTGTGTGTGTGTGTGTGTGTGTGTGTGTGAGCAGAGGTGAGTCACTGTGTTGGCTACAGTCCGTATGAGCAGCATCTACACGCATTGCGGCAGAAAAATGGAGAAGGTGAATGAGAAAAAAATACATTAAAAAAACAAGTAAGACTTAACTTTAAACACCCAGTGAGTAAAGGGTGTAACTGCCTCTCTATGTTAACACTGCATTTCTCAAAAGAAAGAGAGATGGCTACGTTCAAGAGACATTTTGCAATAAAACTACAAAGTTGCTTAATTTCGGCAGACTGAGAATGTGTGATAATAATCTACGAGTAGATGTCAAAATAACTGTAGGAGTGGCACCCGAAGATCGTTACAGAACTACGGGTCGAGGCATGCCCACTGATGGTGGGATCCACTGGGACTGGCATGTTGTTTTCGTTCATAAACGTTTGTTTTTCTTCATGTGGAACTAACATAAGGAAGTGGTTTGTGAATGGAAAACTTGAGCTATTTTACCATTAGTAACGGCCACAAAATACGTCAGACAATGAACACTTCCTCTTTTTACATCATGGCCTGTTTTCCACTCTGACCATGGCTGTAAAATGTACTGCTAAAAAAAGCTTACAGAAAAAAGGGCACACATTAGTCTCTTCACTTCTAAGCGGATGTTGTATTAATAGAAACATCTGTTCCTACCTGTCTTTACGGTTAACATTAGATGGATATTTGGGTCTAATCCATGTCATCTTCTTTTGCAATCGTGTAGTAGTTGGGTGAGACAGTTAAATGCCTGTGTTTTGCAGGATGGTTTTAAATGAAAAGGCCTCCTTAAGAGTCAACTCATGAAAATATATTTTCTAACGTGGATTATTGAATAAAGGGGGGATAAATAAAAACGATCTTTGTGAGAGCCGTTATGAAAAGTGTTTGAGTGTTGCATTTAATTTCTGCATCTGTAGACATACTGATGTGTGTGTGTGTGTGTGTGTGTGTGTGTGTGTGTGTGTGTGTGTGTGTGTGTGTGTGTGTGTGTGTGTGTGTGTGTGACATTGCAAGGTCATTGGGCCATCTGCTGTTTCTTGCAGCAGGATGGCAGGCGGGGGGGCAGTATTGGGAGGCAGTGGACCGATGGACATTGCTGTTGGGATTAGCTAGTCTGATTACTACAGTGGATTAGCCCATGTGACCCCCCTCTATTTGTCTCTCTATCACTCTTCTTTCTCTGCAATCCTCTCTCAGGGAAATCCAATGTGTAAATGTAATCTAAAAAAAAGTACTGACTAAGCAAATAGATTAGATTGTTACTTTTACCAGACGATAAGGATTTTAATTCTTTGTAAACGAAACTCTTAAGATATTTGTTTCACTTATCTGCAAGAGACTTGATAGTGATAGGTAGGTTTCTTATCTTTCTGTTGAAAAAAGTGATCAGATATCAAAAGGAGGAGATGCCAGATATCCAACATGGAGACGAAAGGGAACAGATGAAGATTTGTGTGGTTCCAGGGGACGGGGCAGTTAAAGTTAAAACATGTACGCGTAGAGTATTAATCCGATTGAATGGTAAAGAGAGAAATGAAAAGATGGTGGCCGCTCAAGAGCACAAACGTAAATTCTTAATCTCTGAACCGAATAAACATATAGGGACGAAGGAGATTAACTCTCTTTAGCTCTCATCATGATCAACCCAGACGTCACATTTAACAGAAGTCCTTCCACTTGCTGCCCCTCTCCCCTCGGATCACTTCTGTCCATCTGTCACCCAACTGAGACCATTTTGTAACTGTGTCTTTAGTTCTTTACAATGCACTGTGGTCTCTTGAGGCTTATATGTGTCTTCGAATGGGGCCTGGTCTATATTGGTGCTGTAAATCTTGGTTCTTTGGTGCTTGTAGTGAAGATGGCATCTGGCCATGGTGTGAGTGGGGGCACCTAGGACTCCTGCATTTGGATGAGTTGTTCAAATTCAAACTGCAGTATGGCTTTTTATCCATGTATGTTATACCTGTTGAGGTGATTTTATTATCTTAAATGCCCGTTCTTAAATGTCCTTTATCTTATTTTGTAAATCACTTTGGGATGCCGTGTGCTGAAAAGTGCTGTATAAATAAACTTGCCTTGCCTTGCCTGAGAAAGCATCTGGTTGCATGGATATATCCAGATGTGCACGCACGCACATACAAACATCTGTTGACTGCACAACTAGAATAATTACCCATTAACATTTAGCATGTGTCCCTTTGTGATTCCAAACCAGGATAGTTGTATTTAGTATGTCTGAAGGAAAGGAAAACTATTCACAATTCACTGCTCAGAAATAAAATGACTGTGATACTTGGAAGATATTTAATCTTCTCTGCAGCATTGCAACACACAAAGCAAATGTTCCAACTTGTTGTAAAATGATCTGTTTTTTATTTTTAAAAGCCTTTGTCCATTGTGGCTGCCCATTGTTACACGTTGGGCTTTGGTGTATTCACACAGGGGGACACACTCTTCACAAGCGCACACACACACACACACACACACACACACACACCACACACACACACACACACACACACACACACACACACACACACACACACACACACAGATCTCCAGGACAACACCCTGAATTAGTCATGTCGTTGTAGTCAGGCAACCTAATCCCTTGAAATGCATTAATTATGGGAGACCAGTAACACGTTAATGTTGGAAAACTGTCACTGTGCCTACGGTTATCTGTTCTAAAGTAATGTATGAAGAGACAGTGCTGACCTTTACATTTCATTAGCATTACACAAGCTGTATTGAGCTCACAGCTCAGGCTGGCTAGCTCCTGGTTTTCTGCTGAGGCACAAGAGAAATCTGGACTCTGTCCTTCAGCAGGACTCTCACTGAGGACACTGCACTCATTACAGCAGATATTATTGATCAGAGACCTACAAGAGGCTTGAAGGGGACAATAGAGGATGATTCAAAGGTCACCATATTGACCTTAATTGACCTAGGCCGCAGGCTAAAGATATCCCAGCAGGCTTTGCGGTCAGGGAGATCATGCGGTTGATCAGATCCTATATGGACGTGCTTTACTATTGGTCCGTGCGACATGTAGGACAGATCAGTGCAGCCTATCAGCATCAGGCACCAGGTGCAGTGGGGAGGGATGTGCAGTCCTCTGCACCAAACTGAGGGCTGGGCCTCTGCAGAGATCCAACTCCTAAATCGTCTTACCCCAACATCGTACATCCTTCTCCATCCTCTAGAAACATTTACATCATGTCAGGTAATCAGAGAATCAATCAAGCCCTCGACAGGTTCTCCTCACTGCAATGCCTTCCAAGCAGGTCAACCACACCCCAGCTCACCAGCCTGCGTGACCTTCTGTCTCGGGGCTGCTATTACACCTTCATCCATCTTTAATACCTGCCCACTAGTGTTAAACCTCTCTAACCTCTTCTCTCCACCATGCTCAACCTTCAGGCTATGTCCTATGAAGATCATCCACCCAACCACATCCCTGTTCTCCCTATCCCATCTGTCTCCTCCTGTCCTCCTGATAACCAATCCTACATGTGCAGCAAGAGGAAACAGGAGCCAGAGTAATGTGAGCCTTAGGTCATTATCCTGTAACAAGATATACCGACCGGCAGGCAGGCAGCCCTCCCCCACCCTACGCCTCCACCATCATTTTAAATCCCTCTCTCATTCTCACTCTACACCTGCAGACCAGCCACTACTGAGCTGCCCTTCCTCCCTCCCTCCCTCTCGCTCTCTCAGCACTGCCACCCTCCCCCACCAGTGTCACGTGTCTGAAGGTGAAAATCTCCCCCTATAGTCTCATCAGCATCCGCCTTGTATAGCTGCACCAATGCAGAACAATGATTAAGGTGGGCAGGTGTGTGACTGAAAAGACATTTCTTTAGAGATAATCTTCCACATTGAGATTCATCCCTTTGCCAGGTTAAATGGTCTTTCTGGCAAGCCTGACACATGCCCAGGCTTTGCTCTATAGCATCACTGCTGTCTCTAAGCCCTGTCCTCTCTGCGTGCTCCCGATGCCAACCTATCACAGCTCTTTACAGGGAATTTCCACATCACAGGCCCCGCCCCCAGTTTGACGCAGGAGGCACGTCGCTACTGATGCACCCTGCGGCCTTGGGGAAGGACAGCTGGCAATGCCATCGCACAGTGCACCAATGCAAAATTCAGGGGGAAAATGACAGAAAGAGCGAGAAGCAAGTGTCGACCGGTGACTGGTGGCATCCATTTACTCGCACCACGAATCCATCCATCACTGCATCCCTTCATCCATCTCTCCATCCCCTTTCCGTTTCAGGGTGACCTCAGCAGGCATCGAGTGAAAGTCAAGGAAACACCCTTCACAGATCGCCAGGCACGCTCGTATTCTGTTTTATAATGCCAATCTCCGGAGAGCTGCGGCATCTTCCCAAATCCCACCCTACATTCCTGACAGCAGCGATTCATGCGTAATACTCCCATCCCATCCCATTTGACGCAGTGCCCACTAATGGTGCCGGTTAGCTTCCCCCAGCATCACGGGCTACATCTCTACCGGCAGAGGCATTTCAGATGATTGTGTAACCGCAACGACATCGACTTCTGCCTCTGCAGCGGTGCATATCTCTCAGAGCCGCATCATCTCCTGCTGCAGCAACACGGCTCCTCGTTTTTCAGCACACAGACTGCAGTCGAATATTAAAAAGGACAACTCCTCTCTGCATGATACAGAGGGGGGGACATTGCGCAATATCTCACAATTACACTCATATCTACGCCTTGGCATTTTCCGGGAACGCGGGTTTTTTCCACCAGCTTCCTCTAATACCGTTTGCATGACTAATACAAGATAACAAGAAACAGATGGTTTTTTTCAAAACTGCGCAAAGCAGATGAGATTACTGTCAAATATAACGTTGTACTATTCGCATCTTGAATTTAATCGGTAGTAAATGTGATCACTGTTAGCGATTACCGAGTAGCTGTTACGTCACAAATTAAACAGGGGAAATAAACTGGTGAGGCGCTTATTCTGAGTAACCGCATTATGACGCATGGGCCATCGAGGGTGCCCGGGATGAAACTGATGGCGTCCACCGGTCAGCATCTCTCCTGCTCCACCACCGGATGCTTCTACTCGGTTGACCGGTCCGGAGAGGGCAGTGCCAACGGGATATACAGCAAGGGGAGGACATAAGGGCGAGGAGAGGGGGGGGGGGGAGGATGCGCGGGCATGGAGGAGGTCACAGTACATCGTGTTCATCTGACAATGTCATAAAATATGTGCCTTCAAATGCAACAAAATGTTCAAATAGAAAATAAACCACAGCTAAATGAGGGGTGATGAGAATGGGTTTCTAACAGGTACACCCTACCCCCACCCTTCATATCCCCCCTCCCCACCCCACCCACTAGAGCTCTCGGTAAGAATAAACCGATTAGGCCTAGCATGGCTCGCAAGGTTATAGTGACAGTAAGGCCCATCATAGACCTGGAATACATAGGATAACCTCTAAACCACACAAGTGACACCTTGGCATCGTTCGTATTTATATCGGTGCCAATGAATTGACCGAGCGAATAAGAGAGAAAGGCACGAGCAAATATAATATTATTATTTCTATTCAACAGTAATTCAAGTCAAAAGCAGGCAGAATTCATTCAAGAGATCGGTGTTATATCTCTGCTTCATATAGCGGCACAACAGAGGAGCTACTGGCTACATCAATTTGTCGCAGTCTAGGATACCAGGCTAAAACAGAGTTCCGCATTACAGTCAATGTCAGTCAGGCAAACGGGATTTCCATAGAGGGAAAAAAATGACATCACTTCAGCCCTTCCTCGACAGGAGTAACATTTTAAGGCTATTTTCTCAGGCCACTTCAGGGGGGCTACAACGCAGTTATAAAGTGGAAATCGTCAGTCTTACCCCCATGTTGGCGCAGTCACTCTTCTCCTCTCAGGTGATGCACAGCTTGAGAGGTGTCAGCCCCTCGCGTTGAATATCAAAATGCCTTGCCTTGAAAAATATGAAAGAGAATATGCTCAGTATTCAGGGTGGCTTAAATGAAAAATGAGAACGACGTCATGGCAGTTGATCTGACAAAATGCTTTTTTAAATCAAAACGTTGTCAAACCTTCCAAAAGGGTTCGGCTATTCTGTTTCCCTGTGAGACGTCTTTCAAATGAAATGCTGCGGTCTCAAGCGGAGCATCACGCGGGGTGCGCTTCCTTCCTTTGCTCTCTGATACTTGCGGTGAAAGACCGGCAAAAAGGAAGAGCCGCAGAGCTACCTTTTCAGCACTTGATCTCCCTCCGCGAAAGTCCCGGTTACCGCAGTACTCCTCGAGAGCCGCACCACTCCGCCAATGCAAAAAGCTCCGCCTAAAGACAGTATTGAGAGGGGGCTAAGACCCGCCCATTTGTCATGCAGCTGGCCAATCACAAGCCTGACCGTGCATTCTGTGATGGGTTTGCTGACCAATCGGTGTCGTGTCAGCCTATAAACCAACCAATAGAACGGCCAGTCTGCCCCTCCTGCTTTACTGCAGAATTCCGAGGCTTGCATCCAGCAGCATCGCGAATCTCTAGGCTGAAATGTTTTAAAAATGGACGCACAAGGTTAGACTCTAGTTGTCGTGATTGTGTCTGTTCATCATGAAATGTACTTATGTAAGATACAAATAGTGGATTTGTGTGCATTAGTGCATGGGATAAGCACCCTTGGATGTCTTAGCAGGCCTGTCATGAGCATGTTGTGCACCTTCATATAGTTGGCCTTGGTGCAGCAGAAAGACGACACAGCAGTGTAGCCACAGAGTGTGTGTGTGTGTGTGTGTGTGTGTGTGTGTGTGTGTGTGTGTGTGTGTGTGTGTGTGTGAGAGAGACATGCAGATGACAACTATTTTCCAAATCAGAAAATGTTATCCTTTTAGTCTACAGTTCGGTTATTAATGTATTACTGCACATCAGGGGCATTATGGGCTGCAGACAACCTGACAGCCGTGCATCAGCAGTACAGTTTTAAAGATGCAGAGTCAGCAGCATAGCTGATGTGGAGAGACTTGTGGCAAAGGCAAAATACTGATATGGGCGTACCTCAGTAAAAGCAAAGACTTCGACCTGGCATTTTGTCTTTGGAGCTACTTGACATTTTATGATGACAGTTGTAAAGACTTGTGTCTACCGTTCACATGTGGGACAGCAGTAAGTACCACACAGCAAGAACAAACTTTTCTAACAAATCAGACTACATTCCTTAAACACTGGACAAGTATTCAGAGAGACAGGGGGGAGGAAATGATAGAAAAGAGACTGAGAGGGAGGCATAACAAGGGCAATGACTGTACAAGAGAACAGGTAGGATTGTGGATTTTTCTGTAACAATGCTACATAAATCCAAAGCATAAAAGAGAGTCAGAGGAAATACAAGAGGAGGGTGTCCCATATGCAGCAGTGATTTGCCATTGCAGGCCCTTGGTCACGTTTTTCTTTCGTGCACTATACTGAGGGGACGATGCAGCAGTGAGAGCACACGCTCAGAGTCACTGGGTTGATGCACACTAACAAATACACACACATTCACGCATACTAACCCATGCCTGATTTGCAAGGGAAAGCTGAGAGTCACGCTTCCCGTCCCCGCAGCAGATTGTTGCCATGCCTCACTGGCTTCCTTGCTGCAGGCCCAGACGATGACCACGCAGCACCGTGAACTAACCCATCAGAACAGTTTGAGCTCAGGGTTAGAGGACAGTCAGCCAGAAACTTCATAAAATGTGCTGCTAAAGTGGAGATGACTTAAAAATATCACCCCAATTCAATTAAGCAGTGAGTAACCATGTTTTTGTTTAATGTTCTGTTACTTTGTTGAACTACCAGATTGGTGGTTTCAAATCTGTTCCCTGCCATGGCTTGCAATAACAGGAAGTGAAGTGGCATTTTGACACATTTCCACTTTCATCACTGTACCCATAGGTCTGGTTTCTAAAGAACCATTTTGTAAAGCTTTTATGAATGGTTGGCAACTGGATATAGTTAGCAGTATAGACATTTCTAATAAAGGAACATGAATATTCTGCGTATACTGTATTGTTATACTTATTTTGATCATATGATACGTTGTTGTAAAAGAATCCTATACAGCTGAAGAATTACACATGTGCAAACTATTTCCAAATTAATTCAAGGATCTAAAAAAACGGATTTATTTTAAAGTTAGGTGGACCAATATAAAGTGAGCATTGGTGTTAGGGTAAATCATGCTTTACATGAGATAAAGAAAATAACATTGACTCCAAAAAATGCCAATATCATTTCAATCATTTGGTTTGAATTGATGGATGGAATATATTTATTTTTGGGCAGCTTTATAGCCTCTTGTTTCTATTATTCGCCCACATAAATGTCTACAGTATGTCTATTTCCCTGTGGCTGCCAATTCATATCTTTATAACATATGTATTTATAGCTTTATAAACCCTGGCACATTGGGAAGTGTTGAGACATTTGAACCATTCAGGAAACTGTGAGGATTAACAGACAGAATTTGATCCTGAAGCCCACAGTGCTACCCATGAGGGTGACATTGTTATCATGCTGCTGCTAATAAAGTTACATTCAATCTCATTTCAACCAAAATGGCTGCCAGTAGTATCCCTTTTTTAACCTCCGACACACCTTCATGTTTCTCACTCCTTCCTGCCCCCCATCACACGCCTCCCTGCCTTGCAGTACCAGAAAAAAAGGGGGAGGTAAAATAAAATCCCCCAAATCTCGGTCTCCACAGCAACAGCAGTCAGATGACCTTGTCTCCGACTAGTTTTGCTGAGTCAGAATTTGAGGGATGGGTGAGGGGGATGAGAGTAGGAAAGAGAAGAAGAGACAGATGACACAGAGGGAAAGCCGGTGCTTATTGTTATTCAAAGTGATCGGCTGTGTGGATGCTGCTCTTGCAGACAATGCTGTGTCATTCTCATTATCAGGAAGCTGATGTCTTGAAGCATATAGACGTCCCCAGAGGACTCGGCCAGGGAACATACAGGCCCTTTGCGTGTGTGATAGTATGCAGTGATTTTGATAAGCATGATGCTGAGGTGTGAGTCAGAGCTGCTGATAAATCTCATATGTCCTGAAGCGTTAGTGCCATGGGCTGTGTTTGGGGTTTAGGCAAATATGTGTGGGCAAGATTAAAATAGTGTCTATCTTTGTGCTGCATGTGTCAGTGTATCTATTTATATGAAGCCAATCGTATGTAGATGACCATGCCTCACATTCACATGTGATTGTTGAGCAATACATTTCAACATCACACTCATAACCTGGCCTCAACTTTGGATTTAGGAATTTAGTTGTAGAAATGTGACCCCATCCGGCCGCAAAAGCACTTAGTGAGGTTTGAGACTGATGCCAGGTGATGAGGCCTGGTTTCCAGTGTGCATTCCAGTTCATCTCTAAGGTGTTGGATGTTGTTAAAGGGATCTGAGCAGGAAAGTGCATACTTTTCTCACCACATTCCAAACAAATTATTTATTTATGGACTTTGCTTTGTGCATGGTTGAATTGCCATAATGAAAAAGGAAAGGATTGTGTTGAAATCCTTATGCAAAGTTGGGACCTTTTTAAATCAGAAATCCTTTATTCGTCCGACAGTGGGAGAATCTACGGATACTAAAGTCTACATGTGTTTTTTTTAATTGCTCCAGAAGCATCTGAAAAGGGCTATGCACATACTTTTGGAAATACACAGCAAAACATTTGAGTTTGAATAGGGATGTACGGAGTGATTTTTGTGTGTGTGTGTGTGTGTGTGTGTGTGTGTGTGTGTGTGTGTGTGTGTGTGTGTGTGTGTGTGTGTGTGTGTGTGTGTGTGTGTGTTTGTGAAGGTGATCCTAGCTAATCCGGTTTTATACATGTCTGACATAATCTGTGTTCCACTCACAGTGCACAGTGAATGAGGAAAGGAGGCAGAGACAGAGAGTAGAGGGCTAAGATCTCCGGGGATAGATGATGGAAAGGCAGATGGGGTTAACAGGGATGACAGGGTAGAGGTGTGAGGAGGGAGGGAGCGACGATATTAGATGAAGAGGACAAGACAATAGGACAAAGATGAAGGAGGGAAATGCTAGGTGGGGGGTGGAAAAGTCCTCTGGGATTTAGCGTGGAAAGAGTGACAGATGACGGTCAACGAAGGTTTAGTCGTCATGGGATGGCAGATGTGTGGTTGAGTGCAGAGAGGAGGGTTGCAGGCTAGAGCAGAGTCTGTATTCAGATAAGAAATGCAAAAAAGCAGCAGCAGGGAAAAAAAGGAATCTGCCCTAATAATGAAAAGTTAGTTTGTCAGGAATCAAAATCCCTTCATGTGTTCAAAGGAGGGCGGATAATTGGTGACTTGAAAGAGAGGAAAAGATGAAAGAAAGATTTATATTTAGCAGTTCTATCAATACATACTCGGAGAAATAACTGACATTTCAGAAACATTTCACAGCTTAAGGGAATAAAACAGAACAACACATTAAAGTGCACTTAAATCTGCCTCTCCTTATGTTTTACTTTTTGTTTTTCACTACCTGACTCATCAAACTATATTCCTACAACATTTCCAATGTGCGAAACCTGAATTTTGTTGTTGTTATTCGTTCAAAAAACCTAAATGATTGTGCAGCATTGCAATCCGCTTTTGCAAAACTGCTCCTAACTTAGGTTATTATACCAATAAGGAACCATTTTACAAACAGCTACCATTGATGACAGGTCATGTATTTTGTTAAACCCAAACATGGGCCCTGAGGCTAGTAAACATATTGCAATTAAAAATAAACACATTCCAGTAGTTTTGACGAGCAAAAACGAACAATGAGGTGACACTAACTGGTGCTTTCACTTCACACTGATTTTGTTTCTGGGTTGAGTGAAGCTATGCTGGGAATTACGTCAGCAAACTCTTTGTATTAATAAGACAATAAAGAAGATCCTTTTTCCGACACTGAGACGTGCAACCAATCAAACACAAGAGGGAGGAGGTATCAATCAAGGATCGATTTTTACAAACCCACACAGTGCTGAGAGGACATCCAATAAACCAAAAATAATAGAATCACCTCTGTGGGTGTTTGAGTGCGCAGGGTCAGAGTGTGTATTCATGGCTTGGATATCAAATCAAAGTTTAGTGGTTTTAACAGCGTCTATGGGGGACTTGTGGGGTGCGTTCGAAATTCAAATACCCACACTACCATTTAGTAGGCCAAAAGTACGTAGTATGTCCTAATACAATATGTTAAATGCAATATGCAACAATAGCAGTATGTCCTACTTTATCTGGTCGCATTTTGCAGTTTGACAGCCAGCATGTTTTTCTT